TTTCTTTCTTTTCCATATTAAGAGCGTGGTCTTATTTTCTTTTCCATTCCTAAAGCATTATCATAGGTTCTTTTCAATTTTAAACGGTTCGTCTTATTTTCCTTTCTATATTCAAAGCATCGTTTTACCTTTTCTCTATTTTCAAAAGCATTGTTTAATTTTATTTCCACTTTCATTAGAATTATGTGTATGCATCTGATTTTATTTTTTCATTTTAAATAACATATAAACAAAACATAAACATGATTTGTTTTTTATTTTAAGGCACACGATTTAATACATTAACATCTAATCACAACAACAACAACAAGCATCATATTACAAAAAAGCATGGCCAAAATTGATAATTAAAATATAAAACAAAAAGTTGGCAATAAATAGCATGCATAAATAATTTCTTTCTGGAATGTGTTCATCACAAGTGTAAAGGTTCATTACAAAGAAAATATACATGTAGCATGAGAATGTTTTGTACAAACATTAAATAAAGGTGCATAATGTCTTCTTTCTCAGTAAGGTTTTATTTTGCACCATCTCTGTAAAGATCATATGGTGATGTTCCAGCTTAACTGGTGTAGGAAGACCTTGGGTGACCCTCCATGCAATATTTCAAGTAAAAGCAGGCAACCAAGAACAATTTCTTTCTCTTAGGGTAGATGGGTAACTTGTAACAAGATAAAATTCAAAGTTCTTTGTGGAATTCAAACCCACAGGGGTGAGGGCCAAGTGGCTTCAAGTCAAGGACCATAACCTCTCAGCCACGGATACCCAATGCATGATTTCAGGCACAGACAGGCACCTGACAAGAATCACCAACCTTCCGTAAGTAAGATAGCTTCCTTGCACATGAAAGAATTAAGTTTCTTCTGAGATTTGAATCTGATGTGAGGAGCAAGTGGTTTGAAGTCAGCGACCTTAATCTAAAATTTCTGATCTGTATTTGTTTGAAGATTGTACATCTTGGTATGTTAAAATAAAAATAAATAAATACTATCGAGTTCTTAACTCACGTTCATCATAAAATACACCAGTATCGTCATGGCAGTATGTATATGTATATATTAACATTTAAATATGGCATACAATGGCTATAAAACTACAAAAACTTACAAGAATTTATAACAGAACGCATTGATGGATTCTAAACAAGGCAAATTGAGCATCTTTGCATTTTCATTTATATTAAAGGTAAAAAAACACATAAAGTAACAAAAAATATTTGAGCCGCGTCATGACAAAACCAACATAATGGGTTTGCGACCAGCATGGCTCCAGACCAGCCTGCCCATCCGCGCAGTCTGATCAGGATCCATGCTTTTGCTTACAAACCCTATTACAAGTAGAGAAACTGATAGCGAACAGCATGGATCCTGATCAGACTGCGCGGATTATGTTGGTTTTGTCGTGACGCGGCTCATTTCTTTTAAGTGGATTTCAGGTAGATTTTATTTTTTGAAAAAAAAAAAGTTTATTCATTTAAGTTCATACATAAATAGTTTACCTTATTCCACATTCTTGAAACAAATTACAGAAAATTGTCATAAAACTGGCATGGATTACCACCATATTACATATAGTAATGTTAATTACATTACTCAGATTATAAAAATTGTCAGTTGGACAGTGTGCTCAACTACTCTCAGTGCTTGATAGCAAAACAAGAGCCCGGATAATGTAGATTTTTTAAAGTTCAAAAAGGGCAATAATTCTGTCAAAATCCATTATATCCTATTATACTCTCAAATACATGTGTGAAGTTTCAACCCATATTCTTCAGTAGTTTTGAAGATACCTACCAGCTTAAATGCAAACATTTAACCAGTGTTATACCAACACAAGTACAGTAGCTTTTCCTATTTTTTGAATGGTCAAGTAAACACAATATCAACAATAATCATATTAATCATAAAACTCTAACAATATGTGCTAGTTAACTTCATGATGCTGATAATTAAAATAATCATGAAAAAAGTAATAATAAAAAGATTGTATACACATGCATATTGTAAAACAAACAGTAACAAGCACATTTTTAAAATACCTCCCTGAATAAAAGCAATACATTAAGTAAATTAAATCACACATATACTTTTACAATACTGTAGTATAATAACAATCATCAATAAATACCACTGCTGTACTTCAACAAAATATCTAAAAATTGCCCTTTAAACACAATACATGTACATGTATATGAAAATATTGCAATCCTTTGTAAGTTACTTATTTTTTGATACAATTAGCACAGCGTAACATTAAAAAAACGTGTAAAAAAATATGGCACATATACCTATTAATTGTTTTTTCTTTGCTCTTGGAGGGGAGGGGGGGGGGGGGAAGGTGCTCCTCCTCTTTTCCTATCTTATTTCCAACCATGTTTAGGTTAAATAACAAAGTTCTGACATTTGTTTTCTTTTTTTATTTCATGCAAAAAGAAAATAAATGAAATTAAATGGGGAATGACATTTTTATAACAATGGTGGATATGTATTTCGCTTTTCAATGCACAAACAAGTCTGTTTATCAATATAGAAAAAAAGTTACATTGTTGTCAAGATTTTTACCTAATACATTTTTTCTTTTTCTTTTTTTGCATAATTTGGCACATGCAAGGAATTTGACATTTATCAGTAATTTGACATTAACCCATTAGTAAATTGACATTGATCCTTTAGTTATCGATATTCATTTGTAATTTGACATTATTAGTAATAATTGTACATAATTTGTTATTCATTAGAGATTTTTCATTCATTTGTAATTTGACATTCATTAAGAATTTGACATTCCTATGTAATTTGACATTAATTTAGAATTTGACATAACTAAATTAACATTCAGTTGTAATTTGACATAAGTAATTTGACATTCATAAGTAATATAACAATTAGTAATACGATATTCATTAAAAATTTGAAATAAGCGATTTGAAAAGTCATTCGTAATACATATACTAGAGTATATTTTATTCATTTAAAGCTCAGAAATTATGAATCTTATAATGTTGAGCATATTTGTGACATCAGTAATTTAGCAATGTCCTGACACTTAACAGATTAACAAGACTTCCAGACAGACAATACCTAATTTATAATCCTTATGCCATTGGCAGGATATAATAAAAATACAACAAATAAGATAAATAATAAAATACAATAAATACAATAAATAACAAAATACACGTAACTGAGTTATGTGGCAACATAAGCATGTATAATATCAAAATTTACCCTATATTTTTATATTGGAATAAGTCCTGCTATTAATATGGGAAATGCACATTCTCATTTTAGGGAGGTTTCAATATCAAAACAAAGACTTATATACACCAGCAGTAAGCTACCCTGATTATAACACTGGTGACAAAGCAGGACCGGCAAAATCTTTCTAAAAAGTTTTTAACTAACATGTTAATTTTATTTATAGATTTCGGAAAAATTTGACTTGTCCGATGGACAGCATGGGCAATACGGACATTTGATTTGCTGCTCATGTATTATATGTTATTTTGGTTTTGGAGTGATATATGTGGATATATTACCTGTTAAGATTTTATATCACCCGAGCCGTAAGGCGAGGGTGATATTTTATCTTGGCAGGTAATATATCCACATATATCACTCCAAAACCAAAATAATACTTTTATTACCCTTCCCCTGCCGAGTTTAGACGATTTTTTTAAATAATCATTGCTGTTTCAAATGAAACGTCGAAATAAGATTCCCTTTAGGATACCTCTTCGTCACAACATGACGTCACATAAATACATGACGTATTTTTCCCGTACCTTACAAAAGTAAACAAGAGAAAAGGAGTAGTCTATTGAACGCACTTTTTTGTAATTAATATCAAGCTTTCACAAGGTCATATTTGTTTTCGATACTGATGGTTATATGTATCATAACTCTACTTTGGTAAATATTTATCATTTGACAGTTAAAAAGTGCTTTTAAATCGGAATTTACACCGCGTAAAATCGAACCGTACGCGCATCATCTCCGCGCATGTTGTTTACAACGTTGGGTACCAAACAGGGAAATTTAGTGTGTATATTACCCGTCTGGCTCGGTTATATCAATTTCTTTCGGGTGATTAATATCCAATCAAAAAGGCGGAAAAAATCTGGAAGGGTAATAAAGGAAGTTATTAATGTCTTTAGTACCAAAAAAGTTATAAATCTGATTAAATCTAGTTTTGTCAAAGAATAAAATTTATTTTAAACAACAATTTACATTCTTAAAAAAAAAAATTTCTGAAAAAAAAAGGAAGAAAAATAGGAACGGTTTTACATTCACAATTTAAAAAATCTTATTGAATCATATGTGTTTATATACTGATTTAATGTTTTGGAAATAACAGAGAATAACTTTATAATGTTCTTAGTATTGAATTTCCCTGAATTACAAAAAGGATCATTAATAAAATCTAAGTTAATACATTATATGTATTACATACATTGGCCTTTTAAAAAATAAAAATAAAAAACCTAATCTGGCACTGAATTCACGTGCTAAATCTAAATATTATTTATACATATACCAGCAAATATCTATTCATCGACAATAAATGGGATCATTATTAACCACCCCGATAATTTAGGTCAGTGTCAGTGTTTATTTTTTGGTTCCTGGTATATCGCCCTCAAAACTGTTTTTGCAAAATAAACATTTGTGTAAGATATAATGTAATTACTATTACAACACCACGACTGTTCATGTGTTTTCAGTTGCTCGTTCGTTATGTAACCACGCAATTGGAATTATGGCGATAAATATGTAATACATAGCCGCGTCATAAAAACAACATAGTTGTTAACCAGATGGCATTTCAGACAGCCTTGCGCATCGCGCAGTCTGATCAGATCCCTGTGTTCCTATCAGTTTTCCCTATTTATTGTGTTGGTAACTGCAACAGTAACCACGCGAGCGAATCTGCTGGTCGCTCAACGTAGTTGGTTGTCGTGACACGGCAATGATAATAAAATGAATGAAATGTTTTACACAGTCTTGTATTTTGTATAAGATAATCTCATATAGGGATAATGTAAACTCTGTTCTGTGGAATGTCAAGGTGGTGCATAGGAAGTATAAAAATCCCAGCTTATTCTGTTTTCTGTACTTTTGTTGGTTTCCCCATCAATCTTTTGATAAGCAGTAAAAAGAGCTCAAATGTTATGGTGAAAGAAAACTCTGGCTTTAACATGTGTCTTGGACCTCGTCCTGAAAAAAAAGTTCCAAAAAAACGGCTACACAAAACACGGTAACCTATTTACAACAGATAATGAAAGAAAATAAGAAAAACAAAGAAGACAGAACTTAAATGATTCAGCCAAAAAATAAGGGTACACATTGTCTACAAAACCTTGATTTTTGTACTAATAGCGTAGTATTTACACCATTGTTACAAGAGATCAACCAGTACTTTGTATAATACTGTTATTATGATTTGTTAGTTGTAAAAAAATATAAAATTTGGAAAAACATCGGATGACAGATTTACAAGAAATGAATATGCAGTTTTATTAGTGAAATAATCTTTAGGCATTTTAAACCAATGATTTGTATTTTGATGTTCATTGGAAGCCAGTAAATTAAACCCATAACTTGCTCGGCCTGAACATGATTAGCCTTTGCCACCAGCATAGGACCAAGCAAGACAAGGCAGCACACATGTGCAATCTAAACAGACTCTCAACTATTGGGGGCTCAATTTTCATATTTTAAATTTTGACAGTGAATTCCCTTGAACTTTGGATTACACTGTTTTATTTCATTATATAACGTTTCTTGTAGGCGCAAAATATGGTGTCTTTTAATGTAGACATCTGTTTGGTGTGTTTATGGCATTTGTTATTCATCATATCAACTAATGAAGCTAATTAAAGCAAAACATGTTTTCATAAACTGTGTTGGTTTTTCATCTTTTTATCCTATGTTTAAACTGTTGCAAATTTAAAGCTGGAGAAATACATTACACTAATCTACCATATTAATTGTTAAAATGGTATCAAATCGTATGTACTACCTGTCATGATATCAGCCCATTTCAGTAGCATCTGGTCCCCTTTTCTCTGTACTGCAGCAGTAGCTGCATCTAGTAAAATCGGGAACCTGTATGTCAACTGACAAAACAACATAGACCTAAAATAAACATGAAATGGAAAATTAACCTAACAATATCTCATACACATAGCTTAAAAAAATTTTTTTTGGTAATTTTTACTCTTAAGCTTTCACTTGAGGTCCAATTTTACTCTAATTCTTGTTAGTAAATACAAAGTTCACTGGAGATGTGCTCTACCAAAAAACAATTGTGCATGACATGTCTCTATAGAACAAGGCATTGATGACTGAATATTATTCAAATAATTAAAACATATTTAGACTAGCATTGACTTTTTTAACTGTAAATAATCATTAAAGGTGGCGCGCTAACTCAGTTGATTAGACCACTGGTTGTCACTCCTGAGGTACTGGGTTCAATCCTGGGTAACACCCTTGGGATTTTTCAGAGACACTTTCAGTGTTTCCCACCTTACTAGAGGTGTACTGGTAAGAAATCCAGGTAATCATCGCATGTAACAGTGCTTTACACTGGGCATGTAAAAGAACCAAGGGGTCTTTTCAATAAGAGCTAGGGACTGGTTTGCTAGATTCCCTTGTATCTCATAGCTGTCTCTGAAGTGACTAGTCTTAAAGAGTCATGTCTACGTCCTTGCGAGGGGTTTGAAATAATGGAAGATAGATAGAGAGATAAAATTAGTATCATTACCATTTGAAATCAAATCCAAACCGTTCCATCCATCTGTCATGGAATATTGACATGACCTCTCTGTCATAGTTGCCATGGGTGATGACCTCATCTAGAAAATGGGCAGCTAACTTTCCCCCTTCCATTGCATGATGAATTCCTTCCCCTGAAACAAAACATTCAAAATATCTTCAAATTGTTCTTAAGAATATTCAACTTTAAAATCTTGTAATAGTAGCAGTGTTTTGTGCATTGAAATGAAAATTGATTATGCACTATCCTTATATTCAATAGCTGCATTCAATTCATTTGCTGATCACTTCATTCAGTAAATTCAAATTGTTATGATTACTACATCATTTCTTATAATATTTAATCAACAGATCTCTTCCAAAGTCAAAAAGCCTAAAACATGAAATATAAAATTCTGACGTAGATCAAATGAAGAACTTAAAATGGAACTATTAACCAGTACTGTGCCATATTTTAAAGCATGGTTACGATCAAAGTAACAATGCCAACAATGTCTTGAACCCACCATGTTTGGGTTGAGAGGCATCTATTTTAACAAGTACCAGGTATAGCGAGGCACTTAAATTAACAATGGATATCCAAGGGAACAGCAATGCAACTTCAATAGACACTAAATTTTTTGAGTTGGAGAGTCATTCCAGTTTAGCATCGTATTTTGGATAGTCAACCATTACTCCATTTTTTTTGACTGAATGAAGTCTTTAATTCACTTTTTATTGAAATTTTCCTAGTAAATGGTCTTTAAACCATATCAAGCAGTAAACTCTTGACTTTCTGGATAAAAGATGTAGAGATCTTACCTGTTAAAGGATCAATCATACCAGCGGCATCCCCAACTACTATACAATGTGTGTCATAGCTGAACTTTTCACCACCAAGACGTAAACTTGCTGAAACAAATGTATAAAGTAAATGTAAAATACAGAATTTCTTTAGAAGAATTCCAAAGCAGTAAGCAGAAAAATCTTGCTATTTGAATATAAACAACAGCATGCTGAACTATATTCAGTGCTTGGTAGTAAAAGCAAGAACCTGGATAATGGAAAGTTTTCTTAGTTCAACTAGAAATCACGGTGTCCATAGGACACGGATGCCCCCACACGCCACAGTTCTGTCAATCTTATGACTCTAGGTCAAATATTTTTTAGACTACATGTGCCACAAGTTGAAAACTAAAAATCAACAAAGGACCATAATTCTGTAACATTTGGTCACAGCAAAAATTTCTTCCTTTACTACCATCTACACATTAAGGTTGTTCATCCCTGGAAGTTTAAGCAAAACCTGCCATCCGGTTTAAGAGGAGTTGCGTTCACAAAATTTCTTTATGGTATATAGTGAAAAAATTAACAAAGGGCCATAATTCTGTTAAATTTGATCGCAGCAAAAATTTCTTCCTTTACTACCATCTACACATTAAGGTTGTTCTTCCCTGTAAGTTTAAGCAAAATCTGCCATCCGGTTTAAGAGGAGTTGCGTTCACAAAATTTCTTTATGGTATATAGTGAAAAAATTAACAAAGGGCCATAATTCTGTTAAATTTGATCGCAGCAAAAATTCCTTCCTTTACTGCCATCTACACATTAAGGTTGTTCTTCCCTGTAAGTTTAAGCAAAATCTTCCATCTAGTTTAAGAGGAGTTGCGTTCACAAAATTTCTATATGGTATATAGTGAAAAAATCAACAAAGGGCCATAATTCTGTTAAATTTGGTCACAGCAAAAATTCCTTCCTTTACTACCATCTACACAATAAGGTTGTTCTTCCCTGTAAGTTTAAGCAAAATCTTCCATCCAGTTTAAGAGGAGTTGCGTTCACAAAATTTCTACATAGTATATAGTGAAAAAATCAACAAAGGGCCATAATTCTGTTAAATTTGGTCGCAGCGAAAATTCCTTCCTTTACTACCATCTACACATTAAGGTTGTTCTTCCCTGTAAGTTTAAGCAAAATCTGCCATCCGGTTTAAGAGGAGTTGCGTTCACAAGATTTCGGGACGTACGGACGGACAGACGTACGGACGGACAGACGGACGGACAAGTGCAACGCTATATGCTCCCACTTTGTGGGGGCATAAAAAGGACAATAATTCTATCAATAATCTATGTAAGAGTTATAGGCTTTGGACAATGGCCTTCCTTTTTCTAAGTTCAAAAAGGGCAATAATTTTATCAAAATCCATGTTAGCGTTTAGGCCTTGGACAGTAGCCTTAAGAATTATCCATCACTGATCAAAGAACTAAAATCAGTGGTGAAGTTTAAATGGTATATAGTCTAGTTATTTCATTTAGTAATTATAGGCCACTAAGCTTTTGAGATGTATATTGGAATATTAATTAGTTTGCTGAGAGATAGTAGTTCGCTAGGCAAGCATAAACCATAACTGTCAAATGTATATTAAGTAATTCCCTATCATTACAACATTATATTAGTCTTAAATTGCTTATCTCATTAAAACAATGGTTGAAATGCAAAATGTTAAAATGGAAACAGGTTAAACCAGAAATGTGTCAAAAGGACATGGATGCCACCTCATTGCACTGTTTTGTTAGTCTATGGAGAGACAGTGTAACAAAAGGACAGCAAGACTGAAAAAGGAAAATCTATATGAGGTACCAACAATTTTGTTGGGGGATGGTTGTGATGGGGATAAAAATGCTTTTTTTTATTATCATAAGTAAGAATTATTGAGAAAGAATCATAGCAAAAGAATTTCTTCCAGGCCATATATTAGAAAAGAATGGTAGCAAAAGAGTTTCCTTAAGGTCTTAGGTGAAGACAATTTAACAATGGCGAATTGCATTATAATTTTGCATGATTCTGAGTTATATGAAGAGGTGCCAAGCATTATTCTTAACAATATACAGACCTGCTTTCATTCTCTCTATTTTGTAATCATTTCCTAAAGCTCGGCTAATATTTGGATCTTCTTTCATGAGATGCTCGTGCCAGTACGCTATATCATCAGGGACACATTTTGGGTTACCAGGTATGATGTAACAACAGTAATTTAATACATCGTTAGGATGTCGAAACAATGCTGCATAACCTGAAATATCAAAAAAATTACTGCTCTTAATAAGTTTGCTTTAAAAAAATGAACATAGAGCAAGAAACACCCTGGAAGTGTTATAAGTTGTCTGCAGATGTTTGTACAATATTTAGATTAATCTCAAAATCAGCTGTTCTTTTTACTATACTACATCTTTCGATGTATAGAAATGGAATAAAAATTCTAGATTTCATTCCATTTTAAACAGTAAGATATGATTTATATCCCACTAATATATTTAAATATCTTGTCACAAAGCATATTACATTTATATATCATATTTAAATCTAATGCTTTATCACATGGGGTTAAAATTAACCTGGCAGGAGATCCTTATTGTAAAACACAACGCCGTCTGCTTTAAATTTATGTGTTCCGCCTTCAACATAGGATCTGGAGCAGGTGCTTGCAGGTGGTTGTGTAACAATACCAAGTTTTGTTGCCAAGCGTGAAGGAGCCCCGTCAGCACATACCAATACCTGTAAAAACAGGGTGAGAATAGAAATATGCTGCCTGACCATGACTTGGACAGGTCCTTAGGAATACCGTTCCAAAGCATTACTGACTGAGCTATCTAGTCATTTGCAAATTTTTGTATCTATACATCCTAGATGTCAAACTATAACATATTTTAAACTAACAAAAAGATCTCAGACATTGAGTCTAATGATCATTTGCCCAGCTTCCCTGATTCAGAAATCATGATAGATTTTTAGTCACTCAGCAAGAAGTTTGTAATTACTGGTTAGTTATCCAGGAAAGCCGGTTACAAAATTCAACAGTTGAGATATGTTAAAAATGTGATAAAATGGGCTAAAAAAAACTAGCCAACCAAACGCTGTAACAAAATTTGTTCTTAATTTTGTATTAGTATAAAATTTTAATGGCATTGAGGTTTAAATCATCGTGAATCATCAAATACTTTTCTGCAGCTTAACTGACCAAGCTACTTGGTGGCCTAACACTTTATCACCCATAAATAATCATTTATATACTCTTATAATTATATAACCAGAGTCTCTGTGAAACCTTCTGAACAACCTACTGAACCTTCAAATTTAAATAATTATAATACTTTACAGAAGTAGCCTTCCCTCATCTCTCTAGCATACATGTTTAATTGAGTAGGTTACACATTATTTATTTTGCCTGTAATGAAAACTTCTAGCTTCTTTGAACCATTCTGTATATCCTAAAACTAACACATGGAAAAAACATGGTTGCCACCACAGAAAGGTTTGAACCCATGATAACTTGAATGGAGCAAGATGCCAGAACCACTAGGCCACTGCTAAAATTGGCACCCTCATGCCGCAATTATTCAACATTTTATTCTAAAAAAATCTTAATTCTCTTTTAAGTTAAGGTGTTACCATTTCTGGTGCTTATATAGTAAAAGATGATTCTGCAATAACAAAAAAGATCCTACCCTAGCTGTGAATGTAACATCACTCTCTTCAATACTAACTGTCCAAAGACCAGTGTTACTGTCAAACTTGGCATCTGCCACTGGTTGTTCCTCTTTCAGATCTGCTCCCATTCTAAATAAACAGAACATTTCGAGGGTTGAACAGAAAACTGTCGTAAGTCATATTTACACAATTTTACAGGAGAAGCAAAAATTTATTGTATTGCTACCTGATAAACTTTTTGTTAGTTTTAAAGTCACAAATAGACATATAATATTCTTATTTTACTAAATTAATACCTGATATCTAGAAAAAATGTATATATATGATAATATTGATGAACTTTTGACTTACAACAGTTTTACATCTTAAATAATGAAAAACCCATACTGATGTTAATGGAAAAGTGTCGTAACACTTGAGATAGGTACAGTTTTTCAATTTTTTTTTTTACTGCTCAACAATTGATGGTGACACCTTTTTATGTTTTATTGTGACAAAAACTTAATGTATTCATTTTATTCAATACACATTTGAAAATTGGGCATTAATTAATTATACGAGCAAAACTTATAAAGCTGAATGTATGTCACTTTATAGCAGATGCACAATTATAAATATGTTTTTCAATTTTTAAAGTAGCTTTCTTCTGTTTAATTTTTTGGAAAGTCTGAGCTCTTTTCTCACAAATGGGCCCTTCCATTAAATTTGGGGGGAAATAATGCAGTATTATTGCAAGACAGGAATAGGAACAAAAACTGAATTTTAGAAAAAAAAATAATGACATTAAAGAATTTACCTAAAAGTGAGCAGCCCTTAAATGGCCCCTGCTTTATAAGGAAAATATCCCGGAAGTTAACAAAACTTAATTAAAGAACATAATATCTTCAACTATTTATTATCTCATATTATAAAACTCTTTCCAATCTAAGATCCTATAGACCTTAACCATATGAATGAAGAACAATATTTTTAAAGTCAGTATTTACCACAAACCTTTTAGCAGCCATGGCAATGGCCTCATCAAGAAGGATTCGTTTACAAGCAAGAGCGGCTGGAACTTCCCCGTAGCCCTCTTTACTCCTGCCAATATAACTCAACCCACCTGGACTACACATTCCTCCACTGTCAGACTGAAAGGCACACACATAATTTTTAAAAAAATATTTTCCTCTTTTACCCTGCCAAATTTCTAAAATGGACTTGTCTGGCTTGAAACATCCCATAAACAAGTTTTGGTATATCAAACTGAAAATTTGGAGTGGGTCAGCCAACATTATAAAGACAGGTCAGACAGATGTGCAGGCTGACCTGGCTCTATACTGGGAACAAGGCTAAAGCTAATTATCTTGGTTCTTAAAAGGATGGTCAAGGGAAAAATTAACCCCTGTACTATACAATATCACAATATTTTTTTATATCTATATATTTTTTTTGAAAACAACAGCCTGACAAAATAACTGGTCAGGCAAAACTAAAGTGACTTCTGAATAATGTACACAGCAGAAAATTCGAAAGATAGTCTCCATTCAGGTGACAGGATTTTTACAGAATGTATGCAAATCAGTTTCCTACTCACAGAGTTTATATTACTTACAATATGAGCTTTCTTTTCACAAATGAGTTGTTCATAAATTCCCATCTCCATTAGAATCTCAATGGCTGTCTTACAGACGGCATCTCCACAGTACTTGTCACGTGGGAACTTTTTCTTCTCCAGCAATAAACATTTCCAGCCAAGTTTAGCTAAAATTATTAATTGTATTATTACACCTCATATGACTTTGCCATTTATGCACAGTGTAAAATTTCATATCATTCAATGATATTATGATACTTTCAGATATTAAATTCTACCTGTGGGACTAATATACTGAAATACTTATTATTATCTGTGACTACATGTATATTGAAATTTAACCTGTGACAATACTGAAATTCTATGAAGCTATGCTATATAACACAAACTAAAACTATACTGTTATACTGTCTTGGACAGTACTTGAATACTTGTACTATTTGGAACCATACAATGTACCTTAAAAATTAAAATCATATAAAGGGGACTGTAATATATATGTACACTAGCTGGGACTCTCTCATAGTTGCAATTAAAATCACTCATATGCTAAAATTACACAAATAACAGTCCTCTGAATGTTCTAACATTGTTTATTGATACACATATAATTTCTTAATTTCAATCTATAACATCTTCTTAAATTTACAGTGATTTTCTTTGTCAGCCATGGTTTACAACTTGTCACTAAATATTTCTATCATTATATGGCCGAAAGTTAAACTCTGAATCCCCCTTAGAAAATACACCAGTATTTACAGCAAATTTCTTATCCCTCCATATTTGGAGGTTACCCTAGTGCTAATTAACAAAGAAAAGCCATTTACACACATTGTTGTGTATTTATGACAACAAGTGTTGACTGAGTTACCATACCACAATCTGACAGACTCAGAATTCCTCAAATATTTATGATGGTAAAAACATCAATTGTATTCCTCTGTTCAATTTCTGTTCAAAATTTATGAGGGTAACAGTTGACAGGGTTACCATACAAAAATCACACAGACTGACACACTATCATGTCCCAACAGATTATTAGTAATAAATAATGACAACAAACGAGGTCTCAATTCTCACAAAAAATCAATCAATAAATCAATGTTTAACAAGGCGCATTTCTAAACGTACAACAATATTATCACATGCTAATGCTATATAACTGAAATACTGTCTAGTACTATACAGAATTACTATCTGCCAGTATCTGGGACTATATATTTCTTTGCTGAAATACTTTTATTATCTCTCAGAACAGAACAGATTCTTTTTCTCTGCTGCTGCTCTTTAATTATTACCCATTTTTTATCATCCCTTTTATTACCAAAGCAATGTCACAATTAAGTTAAATAACACAAACAAAAAAACTTAAATATATAAGATTTAAATTAACATGAAGAAAATGCAACAGCCACAGTGTAGTGTACTGGTTAGCACACTGGACTGGCAATCTAGAGACCAGTGGTTTGAGTCTCGGCCGCAGCATGCAAAGTTTTCTGTCTTTACATATAATATAATATATATTTTCATATACTGTATATCTTGGTTATAATGGTAACAGCCAAAAATAGTTTTATAATGACTAATTCTATTATAAATGTTGTACAGAAACTGTTGTTGTACCAAGGAAAAAAGCCGCAGTGGATCCTGCAGGTCCTGCCCCAACTATAACAACATCGTACCAGCTGCGATCATCAGTCTGCAAAAGAAAAATCAAATCAAAATTTAAGGCACTTTTACAATTGTATACCGGCTTTGCTCAATACTTCTGGGAGTGGGTATATTAAGATGTTTATATCTACCTTTCAATGGCAATTTTCTATCTTAGTTTTAACTTTGATGGCTCAATGCCACATACTCTCCTGTAATGTTTTTTCTTTGTTTTTTGTTTGATGTCAGGTAGAACTCATCTTGGTTCATTTACATTTTAAATTGTTTCATGTTCCTACATGCAGGTCAATGAAATTTGATTGAACAGTCTTTTTTATCCACTGACCTTGGCAGCCTTTTGATCTGGTAACTGGTGTGACTGCATTGAACTCATCAACTGATGCATCAAGATAATATGTTTGAAGATTTAAAGTCAATACACATTTAATTTACTTTAATGGCAAGTCCTGGTCACAGTGACCTTGACCTTTTGACCTAAAAATGGGCATTACATGCAGAATTCATTAATGTGAATCCAATACATCCAATAACATCCCAAAACTTTGGGACTGTCCCAAAATTAAGGTGATTAATTGCTTACCCCCTGTGGTTGCTGGGTGAAAGTTACAAGGGGTCAACTACTTTGATAAGCAATGAGGTAGCATAAATTGCCTTTGTCTGCAGGCAACCATTGAGTAAATTTAATGCTAGAGCACCATATAAATTAATGCTAAAGAGATAGAAGGAATCAAGTCTTCAGAAACCGGCAAATGTATAAAAATACAGCTATATTGACCAAAAGGTAGGCGATACATTACATAGCCTTATCATTTTCTGAGACTGACTTACTTTACAGACACAAATAATTGTAAAACTAGCTCTTTGGGGTTTTTGATAAGAAGATTTTTTAAGTTTTTACTATATACATATAAGGAAAAAAAATGACTCCCCCTGGAGGAGCCAATTTTGACCCCAGGGCTTTTATTTGAACAAACCTAATAGACACTCACCAGAAGATGTTTCATGCTTAGTATCTAAACTCTAGATCATTGGGTTTTTTATAAGAAGATTTTTTAAGTTTTTACAGTTGACATATATGGAAAATCAATGACATGACCCCCCCCCAATCCCCCCACTCCCCGCTGGGCCAATTTTAATCCATCGGCCCTTATTTGAACAAACTTGGTTGACACCCATTAGAAGATGTATCTAAATATCTTAGCTCTAGCTCTTTGGGGTTTTTAAAAGAAGATTTTTTAAGTTTTTACTATATACATAAAGGAAAATAACAATGACCCCCTGGGGTGGGGCCAATTTTTACCCCAGGGCTTTTATTTGAAAAAACTTGGTAGACACACACTAGAGGATGTTTCATGCTTAATATCTAAGCTCTAGCTATTTGGGTTTTTTTTAATGAAGATTTTTTAAGTTTTTACTAAATACAAATAAGGAAAGTCAATGATCAGGGCTGGGCCAATTTTGACCCCAGGGCAATTATTTGAACAAACTTGGTAGACACTGGCTAAATGATGTTTCATGCCAAACATTTAAGCTCTATCTCTTACGGTTTTCTAAAAGAAGATATTTTAAGTTTTTCTTTTGGTTGCCATCATTGGCAACCAGAATTCTGCTTGGAATTAAATTCATTGAACAATTTTTAAAGTTGACTACCAAAGGAACATTCCTGTGAAGTTTGGATGAAATTGGCTTAGTGGTTTATGAGGAGATGTCATTTAAAGTAAAAATTTATGCCGGACGAAAAGCGATCACAAAAGCTCACCATGTCACTTTGTGACAGGTGAGCTAAAAAGATAAACTGCTGATATTGTTTGGTTTTATTAACCTGTCAATTACATAATGATTACACGGTCGATGCACACAGTATATTAATCTTCGGTAGATGTTCGGTAAGTTCCGTGAGATGTACGCTGTACGATGGAATTTAATTTAATTTGTATCTCTAACCTAAGTGTACTCAGCGTTATAGCCCAATAGGGTAAGTCACGAGTTTATAATCTAAGTGCCACACGTGTTTTAAGTTCGAGGCCGCGTTGGTCCATGTTTTTTTCTTATTAATACTTTCAACATTATTGAATCTATATATGATTATTTTATGTTGTTCGTTTTTTTATTATGTTTAACTTAATTTTGTTATGTATATACTGTTTTTTAATAACACGTTTTTTTAAGAATTCATGTTTAAAATCAAAACGGATTAAAATCAATAAATGTCTTTTCAATGCCGTAAAACACGCTACAAATCTGTTCCATTAAAATATACTGCAAAAATAAAGAAACAGTACTAAAACAATGGCAACAGTAAGGATCGAACCACAGACCTCTCAATTATCAGGCATTCTCTTTACCGACTGTCTTATTGTGAATTAACGAAAACCTTCACATTAAGCTGGCGTGACTTTCAATCCATGACTAATATACTCCACATTAATTCTCGTTAACTACACGGACCAAACCGAAGTGCGATCGAATATTTAAATGAGTCCTATGATGTATTCATAATTGACAGGTCAATAAAATCAGACTATATTCACAACATATTGCCTTTTTTTGAGTTTTTATAATATTTGCAAGTTGAAAATATCAGTAATTTAGGTAGTAATACAAAATGTATGCCACTGTGCAAGTTTAAGGAAAAATCTGCTTGCAGATCTCCATGAAAGTGTCCCAAATTCTGGCATGTATAGTGCATTCACAAGTTTCAATAAAATAGTTTTAATTGTATTGAAAATGATGACCTTTTTACTTTTTCTAGAAGTAAACAAATAAATGGTTTAAACAAATCTTTAAAAAAAAAATTAGAGAAAAAAATAATAAAGTTTTTCCTTTTTTAAATTCCAATACGTCTATTTAATCACACTTGTTGTTTTAATATCCATAAATAAATGAAAAAGTAAAGAAAATATAATCAAATATTTGATGGTCCATGTCATTTAAAGGTGAAGGTCATATCTAAATTATTCCACATGTCTGTTTGGTCACAAGTGTTGTTTTGTCTACATTTGACTCAAATCAGTACATAAATAACAAAAGGCCCATGGTTGGCCATACACCGCTCACCTGAGTCAGAATACATATTTATTTGCATTTTTTTTATATATACGGAAAATCAATGACCCCCAATTTTGACCCTGGGCTTTTCTTTCCAATTGGTAGACAGTCACTAGAAGATGTTTCATGCCAAATATCTAAACTCTAGCTCTAGCTCTTTGGGTTTTTTAAAAGAAGATATTTTAAATTTTTTCTTTCAGTTTCTATGGCAATCAGAGTTCTGCATTGAATTAAATTCTTTGAACAATTTTCAAAGGTGAACACCAAAGGAACATTCCTGTGAAGTTTGGATGAATTGGCTTAGCGGTTTATGAGGAGACGTCATTTAAAGTAAAAGCTTATGGAAGGATGATGGATTGACAGACGCCTGGAAAAAAGCTATCGTAAAAGCTCACCATGTCACTTTGTGACAGGTGAGCTAACAAAATTATGACCACTCAACCAAAATTCAATACATTGACTGTCAATGTCATTTAAAGGTCAAAGTCAGTTCAAACTTTTAGGATGTCCAAAAGGCTGTTTTGTCCAAGTATGAAAATAACCTATTGATTTATTACAATGTCACATCCAACTATAGCGATAATAAGTGAAAATTAAATAATTTGACCTGCAAGGTCATGGTCATAGATGTGTCAAGGTCAATTTGACTTTGATATACATAAAGGTCCTAACCTAAAAGATGTTATGTCTTAATATCAAATTAATTAATTGTAGATAACAAAGTTACAGCAAGTTACAGAAAAAAAAAGAATTTCATTAATATGACCTTGACATTCCAGGTCAATTTAAGGTCAAGTTTACATTTAAAATATTCAATATGTTTGTTTGGTGGCAGTCTCGCTTTTTGTTGCTGGTTTTTTTTCAAAGTTAAATCAAATCAGTACATAAATAACAAAACTAAGACAATTTAACCAAAATTTCATTATTTGACCTTGATAGTCAAGGTCATTTAAAGGTCAAGGTCAGTTTAACCTTTATGAAGGTCTTGTCCAAAATGTTATTTTGCCAAAGTGTGAAGATATTCCATCTATCAATTACCAAGTTACAGACTGTTATAATGAAAATCAGTGAAAATTCAATAATTTAACATTCAAGGTCAAGGTCATAATACAGCCAAGATCAATTTGATTTTCAGTTTGATATACATGACGGTCTTATCCTAAAGAATGTTCCATTTATACGCGGAAAGTCCGAGCGGGGCCAAAGGTCCCGCGAGGGCTGTAGCGCTCTTAGATAACATGTATGACGCGTATCAGTTCAAATGAAATCAAATTCAAACTAAATGAGCAGTGAAAAAATCCTTAGTTAACTGGGCGCCGCCATTTTGAAATCCTTTTGAGCTAAATATAGATATCAGAGAGCTTTTAATGAGCGTCTACATAATTCAGACTGTTGCTAGCAGACACATTCTAAGTAACACTTCCGGTCCAAGAATGATGTACAAAATCAGAAAATAAACCTGCATTTCATTGACATGAATTATAGCAACGACTATAAATATAAAAAGATACTTTAACATATCCTTTTTGATTAATTAGCACATTAAAAATAACGTAAAAACAACAACTGGATTTTCCAAACGCCGACGCATGCGCAGTGGTCCCCCTTTACGTTCAGAGATTTGCGGAATATTCCGAGCGCTCCGATGATAGGTTGAACACCACCAATTTATTTGTTTTGTTTATGGTACAAAATACCTGCAAGAAAGATCTGGTTTACATTTACACTATACATGTCATGCTAAAATCATAATTCATAAGAGCTTTCCGCGCCATAGGTAGCATCTAATTTCATATTAATGATTATAATATGTGCATGACGGTCTTATCCTAAAGAATGTTTGTTATAATATGAAATCTATCCATTCAATAATAACAAAGTTATAGCCTGTTACAGCAAAAAAATGAAAAGGCAAGGGTTTTCGTGGCCACGTATGAAGGCAATACACCAAGAACTTGAAAAGTTATGATCTACATTAAAGTTTTGGGAACGTGTCTGTAAAATTAGGTGAGCGAAAAAATGGCCTCTACTTTCACTTTGGACCCACTGACTCACTTTGGACCCACTTATTGAAAATCAAACATGGCTGAATCATCTTAATAGGCCTTTTAGCTAGAACAGGTTTTGTAGTACTTTGGCACAACGTCAAAATAAAAGCGACATATTAAGGTATTAAGTTATGGAAGCCTCAACTATGGGCCTTTAAATTGTGTCAGAAGTGCCTACCTTATTTTTATCATCTGGGAATTTAACTTCAAAATCTGCGATTTTCTTCTTTATTACAAATTCTCTGCGAAAAACAAAGTAAATAACGATTAAAATAAGAAAAATAACCACAGATGAAGTGAACGACAACATTTTTTTTCGGAAGCTGGCAGTCGCGTCCGCCCAGTTTCCCAGTTCAGTAGTCTAAATTCCAAAGCAGTTGTTGCATATCAACCGTAAAGCGTTCGCGGAAAGTAGTCCGTCAGTTTCTTCACTTTAGCAACCCGAACATCTCGGCTATTATGTTTAATAACAGCTATTAGTTGTAGATGGAAAGGGCCGCTCACTTCAAAACGAAATTTAAGTTAATTGAGTGAATTGATTAAGTTAGTGAATTCGGTTACAATTAATGAACGTTTTTTTCCCCCAAAAGTATTTCAAATGTTGACAAAAAATATAAAAATGTATCATTTGGATATTCTGTTAAATACTGCTTGTTATGTCCATTAGGCACAAAAACATCAAAAACACTCGCACCCATCTCACTCATAGTTAAATGATACTATTGCATGTCAATACACGTTCCTTCTTAATTAATAGGTCGGAGTCAAACTGTCATAATGGATGATGAACACTCTGGACACAGAAGTCCCTGTAAATTCTGGCGCCCCCAAGGCCCCGTCCTTGACCCACGCTGCTTTCTGATCTATAATGAACTTCCATCTCTGTCTCCAAATCTCAAATAGATAACACTGTGAACAACATCACTATAAACTCTTCTTCAGACTCACTATCCTTACAGGAGGATCTCAATAAGATACAAATCTGGGAAAGGTATTGGGACATGGAGTTCAACCCTTCAAAATGTCAAGGCCTTCACATCACTAAAAACAACAAGTACTTCCTCCATGGCCAAGTGTCACGGGTCGATTTATTTGTTACGTTAATTGTTCATTTTCCCGTGCACTGTTCGTCATTTAGTCGCGGGAAATGTATTCTTAATGTCCGCGCATGCGTTGATTATCGTTTGTATCCGTGGAGTCTGTTATCGTCTGCTATTGTATCGGATGGTTCCGTAACGTACGCTTATTAGCAGAAATTCACGGAAACGGCCGGAACAATTCAACTATGTCTGTATCTCGTGTAATTTTGTGCACTGTTTTTGTATGTCCAATCGTGTTGTACGTTGTATGAAAGAGAATTGAGAGAAAGTTTTACATTGGTTTTTAACATTTCCTCTCTTCCAAATTCCCGCTAACTTTCCTTCTCTAGGTCACTTTCTCTTTATTCTTTTACGAGTATAGATATACCAAGTTAGCCTGGGTTCCAGTCTCCCGATTTTTTATGTTCTTCTGTTCGGCAAATCGACATCTGATATTATTAAAACACGATCGAGTATGAAATAGCGCGTATGTTATGAATAAGCAAAAAATATCAACGTCTGAATCCCAGGCTTATACCAGGTATATATATTAACGATAATATACGTACCTGCTTATACCAAGTCTACTTAATATATAAATTCTATTTGTTTATCTAATATAATTTTTGGAAATATCTTATTATAAGTTATTTACTTTTTGTATTGAGACGCCGTGGTAAGATTATTTTCATTTTATTCATTTACTTGAATTCTTATATATCTGCATCGCTCAATAGTTGCATTGTTGAAGTGTTGTATTTTATGTATGTTTTAATTAACTTTTATTATAATCATGTATTTATGTTTTTAGGCTTTTTTTCTTCGTATTTATTCCATTAAATTGAAGAACCTACGCCAGGAGTTGTAGTTATAATTCTACCCTGTGAAACAAGCTTGAACAGCAGTTCAAAAATCAAAATACCTTGGCGTTGACCTGTCCGCCAGACTTTAAAATACAATTTACACACAATATCCAGAATAACAAACAACAAATGCAAAACAAAACCCTAGGATACGGAATGTTAAAATACCAAAACATTGAGAAAAGTAAATTTTAAAACAACTAGGCTTTATAAATCCCTAGGTAAGACCCCAGCTAGAATATTGCATTCAACTGTTTGGAAGGCCCTCACACACAGTCAAAACATCCCAAATAATAGAAATGGTCCAAAGACGAGCGGATTACCGCTTGGGTTTGAAAACAACCAATTAATCCAAGTAACAAGCCATGCCAGAAAGATTATTGCCTGGCGTTCTCTCGAGTATCGCATATTAGACTTTCGGCTTAAAATTTAAGTAGCCACTACCGTCATTAAAACTCAATCTAGGCTTACTAGACATATGCACCCGCTCTCTTAGAAAAGTTCTCGTTGTAGTCTTGGTGGGGGGTTGGGGTCGGAGTGAAATGTCTATAGAATTATCATCAATTACTTTTTATTCCTTTTTGCAATATAGCTATAATTGTAGTACTTCCTGTTAAAATAATTCGTATAATTATAATACAATGAAGTTACCGGTTATGATATTAGTTCTTTAGATAAAATACAAACAGAAAATGTATGTGAAAACTTAGAATGAACAGAAAAAAGCAGTAATAAATCATAAATTTGTCACATTACATGTCTTAATACTTTTGATTTCGCCATGTAAATGAATATCTAAAGGAGCAAGAACAGGGCTGGGAATCAAAACTGCGTCGTATCCTACAAAATGTAAACAAACGCCGCCATCTTGGAACGAAAAACGTATGTTTTTGTTTATAACATTTTTTGTTGGAAATGACTGAAAACCAGATATATGTATTAACACGCTACACTATTTTCCGCTTCGTTCGGTATATGTTGTTTAGACAACTATTTTGTAAAACAAAAGTTATAGCGAACTTGCAACTCGAAGCGGAGCAGAATTTTTATGAAATTGTGTGGATACGACGCAGTTCATATTGCTTTATCTATCGTTTCTCCTTCAAATAAATTACATATATCTGGTTTTCAGTCATTTCCAACAAAAAGAGTTATAAACAAAAACATACATTTTTCGTTCCAAGATGGCGGCGTTTGTTTACATTTTGTAGGATACGACGCAGTTTTGATTCCCAGCCCTGAAGAATTTACAAACCTTATAAAGTAGTTTATACAAAAGAAAAAAAATCAACTAGTATAATAACATAACAGAAACTGGTTTCATAAACTGAACACTTTGGAAACTGTTGATATAATTTTAATTTTGTAAGAAGAAGCTAGCGGATGATATGAGGTTGGACACTTTAAGGTCCTATAAAGTGTGCCAACAGACCATGTTTAATACGCCCTGCCTCATATGAACCAACTTCACAAAAAAACTAATGCCATTTAAAACAAATAAATGCATGTCTGTTTTCGTAGCAATCCCCATATGAGAATATTCTTTAGAATATGGACGATACTTGCCCACAAACTTAACAAATACAGTCATATAAGGTAAACTCAATTTATCTGATGCATATATAATGGTCTCATTGACTTCCCGTGCATCAAAGTAGTAAACATCACAAAAATGGACTTGTATATATAAATGTATGTAAGTATCATTCAGTGAATTACTATGTATGCGTCACCTTTTGGCAGATGATAGCATTTAAGGACATGAATGGTGACATGTCCGGGGTCCGTAATTATATTTTATATAAACAAAAATGAATATTACTATATTTGGGTATATTTGGGCAACATTTGGGTGTATTTAGGTATTTCATAGAGAAATTTTTCATTTCGTGAAAAGCTTCATTTCTGGTATTATTTATATTTGTAAACCGGTTAAAAGTAAATCCAAAATTTCCAGCAAAATAAAAGATTTATAAATTACTATTTAATTTATTTTCATTCTTATTTTATAAAAATGTGATCATTTCATATATATTCACTGTTAAATATGATTATTTATTCAGCTATTAATGTTCTTTTTTCATACGCACGCTGTTAGGATGTGAACCCTGCTCCATAGCAAATTATAGATCCCTGCTCCGTAGCAAATTAGTGTTGTTGTAGGATTAAATATCCTGGGGTAAATCGGGAATGCACCGTCTTTCACTAAAAGGGAGATCACTGCGTGAAAATTTGCATAGTAAACAAAACTTAATTATAATGAGATTTTGCAGTTCATACGATGTTTCCATGGAAAGTCTAAGGTAAAACATTATTCAGATTATTCAGATGAAATGCGAATAACTGATATGAGAGAATTGGAATGAAAAGTAAGCGTGAGAACAAAGTGTTTTTCAACTTGCATATTTTTTTATATAATTAGCAGTGTCATAGTTACTGGATAATCCTTCACACATTTGGACTTCAAAGTCTGTTTGGAACAGAAAAAAACACATTTACTTTGAAGATGTGTTGGAAAACAAAAGAAGTATTTTTGTTTCTTTTTTTTTTAAATTGGAAAAACAATTTATTTTGAACAGCTCTGGCTTCCCCCGTGGCTTCCATAACTTTAAATTTTAAGCCTCTTTTTTAACAGTGTTAAAGTTTTTCATTTGTGGCATTAAAGTTTCAGGTCAGACCCATTATGAAATCTAACCAGAATAAGACATATTGATAAAATCCTATTTTAATATGCCCCTTACCTAATTAATTCTTGTGCATTATCCTATAAAAATATCATTTCAACATCGTTAAAATATTAATACTGTCAGATTGCGTATTATACTGCTTGTCACTGTCCAGAATTGTTCACTAAATAGGGGAGAAGATGTGTAAGCGGCCGGATAGCTCAGTCGGTAGAGCCTCAGAACAGTATTCATCATCATCTCAAGTAATTGCATCACTTCGCAAGGAGTATACTCACACTTCCTAGGGTCCCGGGTTCGAATCCCGGTCAGGCTGCACATTTTTCTCACCCTATTACATAAAACATCACTACACCGATTGACAGTTTCTGAACTAGCAGATGACAGGCTATTCTAAATTCTAATCAGTAGAATTGCATGTAAAGATAACCTGAGTTGCATATCGCCCTTTATAAAACATATGTAAAATGGTCTGACATGTGGTAGGTTAAACTGTAAATTGTGTCAACAATATGTTATCAACAATATATACTGAAACGAAGCTATAAAGATCACAAGCTTTTCATTGGTGTATCAGACATTAAATCGTCCCAAAGTAGTGGTTTAAATACGGCTAAATTTGCATTGTTTTAGCATTAGAGATATAGGTACACGGAGATAAGGGAAACAACTTGTACTTTTTCACTCAATATGCCATGGTTGTTTAAGTAGTTCATATAGAGACTGTCAATGGGTGTATTAAACTGGCTA